TCGATTCTTGGATATTTGTATCTGTACAAATGAAAGCTTCGTATATTTCATGTTATGTAGGATTCCAAACAGTTCTGTAGTTCAGAATTATTTAACTTTTTCCTAAGTATGTAACTAAAATACACACAATGAAGATTTTGTTAAACATTCTTATTTTAATAATAAATCTGCAGTGAGCAAACTCGGCAGTGACTGGAATGAAAAATTCAGTCAACAGGTTATAAGATTTACAAGTTTTAACATTCGAACATTTAAGCATTTCTCAAAAGAGAAAATTTCATTGTCTCTTGACATAAAGATATTATACCTTTATTTACAGGCACTGTGTAAAAATAAGCATGTTATTCGTTACAATACTGTTTTGCTTTGCGATCATTGACATGTGCACAAAGGGGAATGGCAGGAGAGCTGTGACCTCTGAAAAGGACCCATAGAACTCTGCATTAGAACATTTTATTTCCTTAATACCCGTCAGAAAGGTAAGCTCTTCACACCATCTGGCAACCCCAAAAATGTGTCAATATAAATTCACTTTTACTTATTAATTGTACCACTAAAGTTGAAATTTCATTCTCCTTGTAGTAGACTTTATTGTTTCCTAGTAAAATAAATCATATGTAAATAAAAACTTAAATGGAAAAGGGGCCCCGAAATATGGTTGTTTAAGGCTGTGCAAGCATATCTAATGATACACAACTTCCTTCCTTCTAGGAGGATTAACAAATTCTATTAAATTTATGAATGAGAATTCATCGAAGGCATATTAGAATCAGAAGAGCAAATTCATGCAATGGAAACTTAAAAGAGTTGTTTGATGCATTACAAATGCACAGAAAAACTTCAACCTTTAATGGAGTACAGGTTACATCAAATTTGTAATATTACTAATGATAGTGGATGCACTATTTTAGAGATAAACATTCATGTTTACTCATTGGTACCTTAACAAATCATGTACAAGAACTGTTTTATGAATACAAATGAAGTTATTTCATTCTGGTCATAATCCACCACCTAATATGAATGCAATTATTCTTGGAAATAAAATGCTGACAATTCATGATCTAAAAAAATGTACGTTACTTGAAAAGAGTACTAAGAATCTTTTAATAGTAGAAAAATTTCCAGTGTTCGAAAGAAATTGGAAGTAAGAATATTGATAATATTTGCAGTCTGGGGAAAACCCTTAAAACATCCTGGCAAGGAAACTACATCCACTTGCCAAAAATATCACAATATTTTTGGTGAGACTAGCCACAAACCAGAGATGCTAATAATAAGAACATGATGTAACAAGTGTAAATATGCACCTGACAGCTGGCGCAATCTATTACAGCATTACAAAACCAGAAAACAGAAGCATTTTCCAACAGCTGAGACATCAACAACATGATGAAACAGATTGTTATTTAATGAGTCATGTTGTCAATACCATGTTACACAACAAGGTTCTTCATGATAAATACACTACTCAAGTTCTACCAACAAGAACAAAATTACAATGCACTTCAAAGAACACAATACTTTAAACAGTGAATTTTAACAAAAATCTCCTTCAGTTACAAAATCAGTCATTTATAAGCAACATAAAACAGGTTGAAATGATGCACAAAGCCAATTTAGTAAAAGAATCTTAGTAAATATATAATAAAGTAATAATATTATAAAGTAAACGATTGAATGAGCAAAAAGAACTCAATCAGTTCATAACTTGTATTTAATTTATTAATAGTCTCAAAAGGTTGTCAAATCTGTTCATAGCAAAGAAATGCACTAGTGTACAAAAATTTAAGTTTCTAAACCTATGACAGAGACTGCTGATATGCATGACAACACTAACATGTAAGCAATATGAGTATAACAGATTCTACGAAATGTCAACTTGTATGCAAATAAGTAAATCTTCAATCAATAATATTGAATTCTTATTTGCAATCAAGAATATTTGACATTTGAAACCGTAATCTAGAGACCATACAATTTGCTTTGTAAACATGTTAGGCTTTTATATAGTGGTGTGCAGAAACACTTTTGGTATTCAAGTGAGTCTTTCCAGAGGGGTTAAGAATGCTCAACTTTATTATCTCTTGTCTTCTTTCTAGGCACAAGAACTTTGTGAATCAATAATCAGATAGAAAAGGAAATTGGATAATTACAATACTTACCGATCAAATATGCGTGCTTCCTTAAGAACATTTCCCAAGTTGATGTATGCATCAAGAAAGTTGGGATCCAAAGCCACAGCCTTCTCAAAATGATGGATCGCCAACCAAATCTCTCCCTGGGCGTTAAACACACACCCCAGGTTGCTCCAGGCCACAGCAAAGTCTGGCCGAGTCTCAATAGCTTTGAGGTAGCATGCCTAATGGGGCAGGGGACATGGGCACATGCCCAGAAAGATCAGAAAATGCGCACACGCAGGTGTGAAAGCAGATGACACAAGAGTGTCACAGCGCGGGAAAGCACGCAGCGCGTTGGTCCTCACCCCCCTCGCAGCCACACTGCATGCTTACATTTCCATGCACAACGCACAGATATGCAGCCTGCGAGTGGAGAACTAATGCACAGCTAAGCCCAACCACACCTAAAAATCTATTGTACAGTACTGGCACAACTTCCCTCCCTTCAAACAGAATTTAGATATAAACTATGCAGAATGTGCAGAGTGAAATGATTTTAACATACATTAAAAATCTAAAAAATACTAGACAATCTAGGCTACTTTTTATCAATGGACGGGCAAAGCTGTATGGAGAGCAGGAAGAGCAAAGGAGGCAGCGCAACGCAGCAAGCTGGCATCGTGGCCTGCCTGCTCATTCATTACAACGCACTTGTGTAACATTCACAAGCAGGGAGATTTCTACTGAGACTAAAGCTAGGACCAATCAGCCGAGAATGAGCAGCACCTGGGCACGACACCATGCTAAGGGATTCGCTAGCGCAGAGAATTCAATGATAAGTCTCATTCATTCTCAAAAAGGAACGCCGACGCGCGCGGGAGTTGAGGACACTTCACAAATAACACACACAACAAAATTGTGTTTGTTAATAGCTCCGTAACCTAAAACACACAAAAGTCATTGAGCAGCAAAAAATGAAGTTTTTTCTTTGGAATGAAAGTAAAGCCAGTCTCCTCCATTTTTGTGTGTTAATTGCAAAACTATTTCAAACAAAAAATATTTCCAGTGGTTTCTAACATCAAATACTCATCCCTCTCTCATAAATGAGCAGAATAACAGCACCCAAGAACCCCCTCATGAAACCAAAAGACAAGCATGTTAACAGAAACATTACATTTTCCTTGTTAACATTAACAGCTTACACTCATTTATCACGAGTTCTGTAATTTCATAAAATCATAAAAATACATATAAAACTATAATAGTATTGAAGTCATGAAACCACAAACTTTGGAGCATAGCAATCCAAATAATTAACTATGTACTTGATTTTTTATGGTGAACTACATTAAATAAGGAAACTCCACAAAGGATCTTTCTCAATTACCTCTCATTAACTGAAGACATTTCTCAGTCCAACATTCAAAAGACTTGACAGGTGTTTTGATGCCAGCTCTAAAAATGTTAAAAATTTTAAGTTATTATCAAATGTCTGTCAATTCATCAGTAAGGCAATCTTCCTTATTCTCTGTCTGCTAACCTACTAAAAGATTCACAAAAAGGCGAAGGTAAACCTCTCGGGAAGGAGACTGGCCCGCCAGAGGGCGGTCTACTTTACCTGCTTGGGCACCTGCGGGCCCGGGGCACTAGCACTACATTTACAGCAAGGGCAAGGACGATGAGCAGCCGACGGCAGCCGCCAGCCCACCGCCCATCGTCGGCGGACAGCGACTGACCACCCGACCACCGCCGGTGCATGGGCCACGAGCGGCCGGCACCACCCTCTCCGCTGGGCGGCTTGCCTCACCAACCTCCATCACTAACCCTCACTAGAAGGCACCCCGTGGGAGAGAACACAAGAAGCAGTGTCATTAATCAGCGAAGAAATACTCAGAATGTATGTTTATCAGAGTGGGTTCATGCTGGGCCTGGGTGTATTGCTTTCAGCCGACTAACCAAATCTCTAATACAAATTAAAGTGGTTAGAACATAGCTCAGAATAAATGAATGTGCAGGATCATGTTTTGTTGCAACAATTCAAGGATTTATACTACTAAATACAACTGTTACTATAATAGAGACTTGCTGCATGAGAAGAATATTTTTGCTAAGCCACGAGTTTCCAAAAGAATATTACAATTTCCAGTCCATAGCCTATTTATATTGTAGACAACGCAAATATATTAGAAATTTATTGCTTGCAGAATTTGTGCCATCATTTCAACACTTCCTGACTAAAAATTTCTGGTGCCATAAGAATTAAGAAAACTTTTCATCTTTGCATTTCTAAAGATTAATGAAATATAGCTCTACTGCAATGTTTAGATGTGAGAAATTCTAAAATACGAAGTCTGTACTTAGGAGGAGAAAATTTTCTGCTACACATTTCACAAGAGTAACTTATATACCCAACATCATATTGAAATACAGCAAAAAGGACAGTATATTAAAGCCCAATAAGTTCTTAATGTCACAAACCTACGTCAAAGACAAGAATACTTAAAAGTGATTAAAAAACTAAAAAAACTCATGTTGTCTTCACAAAAACATTAAAATGGCAATGACAGCAAATTATAAACAAATATAGATAAACCTGCATAGAACAATCTGGCAAGTATTTCAATAACACTAAAAAAGAATTCACACAATCTAGATATCACATAGCTCTCACAAAAGAAAAAAATAAATGCAAATGTGTGAATATGCTCCAACCACTTTAAGATCAGGCCCTATGACAATTCTAACACAATTTTGGACAACGAATAACCAACCCCTCTTTCAGAAAATCTTGTGCGCATTACAATTCAAATATAGCCAACAAAAACAGGAAGAAACAAGAATAACAAACCCAAGCCCAGCTCAGTGCAACCTGCTAGAATTTCAGAAGATAAAGTTGACCTGCAAGAGAATTGACACCATAAAAGATATCTATATTAAATTATCCCTCGCAAGCTGGCTTTTCCACATAAATCAATTCTTCACACAATATTCAAAGTACATCCCATTTACAGCCAGTTTGCAGGGCATCCTTGCAAAGAAAAGCCACAAATGTGATGGTAATCATCACCCATAGAAAAAAGGAAATAGGCCAGGATTGGAGATCGCACAGCGCAGAAGGCTCCTCCAGGGTCTGGCCTGCTCAAGTGCCTAAATTCGTCCGCCAACAAATGAACCCCCACAACTAGAACATGCGGTGTCGCCTGGAGGATACTTCGGGAAGCAGAGCGCATGCAGAAGTTGCACACAGCTGGGTTGTCAGTTACAGCTGTTTGCAGTCTGCAGAGAGAAAGGACGCCTAGGCGCGAGGCTCTCTGGCTGTGTGGGTGCATGCAAAGGCGTTGCTTGCATCCACCAACCCTCATGGCATGTTCACAGAATTTAACCAATCATCAACAAAATCAAAAGTCTAACAAATTCACATTTGTGCCAAACAAAACGAGCCAGCAGATGGTGACTACCACATTTCAGGACAGCGTACTAAGTGCCATGGCATTTACACAGGACAAAATGCTCTATTAAAACAAAACACCCTGGATTCAAATCGGACACTAATTAAGGCCATGGAAAGGTCAGGAACAAATAAAAACTGAGAAAATATAAACAAAAATTTACACTTTCAGAAATATGGGTGTAAACACCATGGCGTCTGTACTTGGGTGACAATTTAAACCACCATGGCAATTACATATAAAAGATGAGAATCAACAAATATTTAAGGATATCTCTTGCTCAGCAACTGTATCTTCTGAAATCAGCTACTACCATCAACTTTCAAAACTCTTTTACTGCTGGTCTGTCTTGATATCTTGAGAAGGCAGCAAAGACCAGACCACATTTTTAGAAGCCCAAGGACAGGAGAAAAAGGAGAGCTGATCCAGATCCACAAAATGTATCTCTTATTTTAGTGTTAAATGATTATAAACCTAATGGTAATTAATTATGTTAGAATATTATTTTAATTGATTAACATGACAGGAAACGTGCACATGTGAAAAGGACACAAAACCTAAGAAAACATGCTTCAATTTTTAACTGTATTCTCTCGAGATCAAATTAAAACCTGTACTGCTAGTGAGAAGGGTTGTGTGTATCAAAGTACTGACAATACCATCTTGATACCAGTCAAAATTTGAAATGTTACTGAGGTCTGGTCCTGTCAGCCCACTCAGGAAGGAAACAATGGAGGGGCGGGACCTTCAGGTCAATTTCTTACCTTTGCCTCATCAAGACGTCCAAGAGCTTTCAGCAAATTTCCAAGATCACTCCGTACGCAATATAAATCCTGCAGAGGTAAACAAGAAATATGTCACACAAACTTGTAAAACAAGTCTATTGCATTAACATTTTGAATTTACACAGTGTCAACTTTAAATACAACCTCAATGTGACCAAAAATACTTCACTCTAGTTGAAGTAAATATAAATATTTCCTACAATTGTGATCCAGAAAGAAAATTTTGCATGCGTTCATCTCTTTGAAGAGACTTACTTGACATTCAAACTATGTTCAAATATTAAAAGATGAGAACTATGCATGGGTGTGTGAAGTTCACAAAATACGACCAAGAAGCCTTCTTTTCACACTTCTTCAAACAAGCTTTATTCTAGTTTGTTAACATGTTTTCCCTGGCAATGAAATCAAAGAAAGTCCCTCAATAATTCCAGTTAATTCCATTTCTCAGTTTTTCCACATTCTCCGATTACTGAGCATGTTGAACACAAACAAATTTTTTGAACTTGTAAATGTCAAAAAAAGAAGCAAAGCCAAGTCCCTTTACAACACAGATGTGCATAGTTCAAGTGTGCAACCAAAAGTTGAGATAAAAATCAAAACAGTTATGACACGTGGGAGTAATTAAATAGTCAATGGATTGCAGATTGAAGGTTCCCTATGTCTTCTTTTAGTATCTTAAAAGAGATTATTCTCACACATTCCATTATGAATTTCTTGAGACAAGTTTTAACATTTATAAATATTCCCTTTATATACTAATAAGCAATCATTTCCTTCAATTCACAAATTTGAACTTAAATGAGAAAAACAATTCAAATAGCTTAATATAATAACATTGGATTTTAACAGAATTATTCCATGAATTTTCCAGAGCAAAAAATTTGCCCAGATTTTCTGGTTTTCTAGAAAGCAGCAATCCTCTGTTTGCCAAATAACGTTAATAATATTCATGAAGGGCAATAGATACTAAAATAATTTTCCATAAAGTTGTTTTTGTTTTTTAAATTTTTTGAAAGAAAATTTCTTAAGTTTTGGTTGTGAAATTGTTTAAAAAATTACAATTTTATGAACATCTATAACAATTTCTACAACTCCAAGATTGTATTGTTTGAACAACTGGAGCAAGATAGAAACGTGTGGGGGTGTTTATTATTGCTCAAGGTTAAGGGTATGCTGCCTAACAATTTTTCCGCTAAGGCGTCCCCATCAGAAAAAAAAAGAAAATTATAAACTGAATCGCTATGATGCTACTGTGGTACTATTGGAATGACATCTGGTGGTTGGTTTCTGTAGTTTTTGCAGAGTGCAATTCTATTATGAAGACTGAATTAGAGTATCACATAGGAAGGTATACAGTTGGCATCCGCCCATTGTTTTAGAGGGTATTCTGAGATGTAATAGATATTTCACAAATATAGATAACTGGAACACAGATGTCTTTTCACAAAATTTAAAAGACTTTGGGAACACCCTGGACCTAATCTTCAACACACATGCTATTGGATTCTCAGATACAACAAGCCCAAATTACTATAACACATCTAAGAGGAACTTGTAATTGGCTTCTTCCATGTGATATGCAAATGACCCAAAAGTAAAATGCTCTATTAATCATTAAATGAATTATTAACACAAGTTTGATTTTGCCCTGTTACTAGTGGGTTATTATTTAACAACTGAATGCATAAATTGCCTTATTATTCCAAAGTCACTGGCTATTGATCTTACAGTTCCATGAATTTTAAGACAAATATTCCATTTCATGTGAATATCATATCCCCATTTTCATAGAAATAACCTAGATAAAATCTTGGCCTAAAAGTACGTATTACTAAGAACTGATTGGAATAATGCTTTTTAGGTTTCCTGTTACATAAATGCTTATCACTTTCAATATTATTTATGACAAATTAAAAATTATAATATTTTATGTTACAATATTCTGGTGAAGCATCTTCACAGTTCAATGCCAAGTAAAAATAAATAAAGAAGCAAACAAGATTACAATTCTATCATGTTTAATCTGGAATGCTGCCAAAAAACATTGGCACATCACTTGTATTTATCATTCAAATATGAGCAATACCATCCTTGGTACAAGGTTTTCAAGTTTTTTTTTTTTAATGTGTACCGACTCCAATCCTGTTTACACAACTACAATTCCATATTCAGCTTGTAACACAAAAATCAAAATAAATATTTTGTTCACAATTCCTTTTTCACAACTGAAGAATCCTTACAAAACAGTATCTCAATACACTATTTAACTTCATAAAATATTTAATACTTACAGGATTGTACTGCAGAGCTGTCACATATGCTTGCACAGCTTGTTCCATGTCACCTGCTGCTACCAAAGCAGCTGCCAAATTAATATAACCATCAATAAAATCAGGCTTTAGTCTGACAGCATGTCTATAGTTTTCTAAAGCTTCCTGGAGTTGCCCTCGTTCCTTGTACACATTACCCAAGTTACTATAAGCTTCTGCCAACAGAGGATTCTGTTTTATAGCTAATGTACTAAAATGGGCAGATCTGAAATGGAGACATTGAATTAACTGCATTCTTCACATTACAGCAAATTTATACAGCAAAGAGACTACAATGCAGAATAAGAGAAACAACTGTGGTATTTATGAGATGCATGCTGCAATAGCAACTACTACTTTGCACAGTTCAACAGATTAAACATCTATTACTAATTTCCAAATACTACATTACTTTATAACACAATCTACAGAGAGACACTTTTTATGCTTTATTACTGCACACCAATTTTTATTTTCATTTTTTTTAAATACCCATTGTCCATTAATGCATGCTTTTTTGTTCAAACACAAAACAAAATACAAGTGAAAGTGATACAAAAACAAATGCAATGAACCATTTTGAAGGGTACTTTCATGTCTTGCTGGCAAATCGAGAAACTTACTTGTCAAGTCTACGGCACTGGAAGTGAATGGATGATAAAAGCAAAAGGACTCCAGTGTTGTTAGTTTCCTGCCGCCAAAGCTGCATGCAGTGGCGTTCGGCATTTTCATAATCTCCAGCTTGATATTCTCGATGAGCCAGCTCCAATAAGCCTAGGGTAAAATTCCTCGTCATTGACTTCTCTATAATTTGAAAATTGAACACCGTATTTATTTTTCATCAGGGATTTCAATCAACACAATGTATCTCTAGAGAACTCTACTAGTGAAATACAGGAATACGAAGAAACCATATGATCATGCTAGAACAGAAAAGCGCTAGTTTATTCTACCCTTCTCATCTGAACATAGAACAGGAAAAACTTGTGTCAATTTGAAATTTAATGCGAGTGGAACTTGCAACATTTCGCACAGCGTTGAAACTACATAAATTCATACTAAGCTATCAATGAGCGTGTGCAGGATACCTACTCTGTAACATGTTACTTGGCAAGGTCTCAGCCACACGAATGACCGAAGTTACTAATAATGAATTCAGTTTGAGATATTTAGTTTTGGCCACATGGCGACACCAAATTACACGCAACATTTGAAACTATCTTTAGAACAAAACGAGGTGGAGTGTTCCGATTTTTTCCTCGATTACACACTGCCCTTTTAAAGATCAAATATACACTTTTTTTGAGTACGTACACCGGGCGAAAATGACAAAGGCGCCCAAGGAGAGCATGCTAAATTAGATCCCAACACCTCTCAATAAAGAGATGATAAGTGTACTCACCAACGGTAGAAAGTTGCTGTAGATCGTTCATTTTCAGGATTACATTAGCACCAGTAATTTGCTGATGCTGTTGTTGCTGTACTTGCTGTGACTGCATTGAATACTAGGGCGACTTTTAAGTCAATAATTTCGCAACTAACGTACAAAAAATAATGTTACTAAATCCTTACGTTTGAAAAATTCCGTAACTACGGCAACCCATCACATTAAATTACACGCAGGCTTCCTGACCAACAAGATGGATGAACTTTTTTGGATTATTCGCAACAAGAAAGGATAGATAGCGTGCATAAACGTCCCAGAAATTCTCGGTTGTGATTGGCTACTGGTGTTCTTGCATTGCTTCCTCTACCATATAAAAATAGTTCTTATCCAAATCAATACACTCGGTTCATGTTTTATTTCATGAAATAATATTAAATTTATATTAATTCTTTCGCAGTCTCACTTTCACGAATAACTTCACTCGAAATCATTCCCACCAATACTAAGTTTCGAAGAGGAGTTCGACAAACCAAGACCTCAAGACGAATCCCACCTCTCCTCACGAAACCATGGGCCACGGAAATAGCCGAGTGGCTACACTGCTCTCAGATGTACTGGCATGGTAGCGCCATCTCTTAGGGTAATTATAAACTAATTGTGGCCATGATAAAATCATCTTTATCAATCAAATATTTAGTTATTTCACGACAAATCTATTCGTCGATTTTAGAAATTATTATAAATGCACTGGCAATCAGAATAATGAAATTCTGACATATCAATACACGTGAATTTAAACGGTTTACTAGTTATTTATTATTGACTCTACATTCTATAATAAAGCCTATTAAATAAATGTAGGTTTTGAATTATTACGTACATTGAATTAAAAAAAAAAGTTCTTATGTTCATTATATGAGCAGTGAAAATCTTAGGCTCGGCTTTTCATACATCACAATACCATTAAGGAAAATCAACGAAAAGCATTTAACATTGCATTAACACTACATCAATTTTATTCTACAAAAAACAATCTGATGCAGAAAAGGAAAAAAAATAATGTACACACCGCCCTTTTTCTGTTTCCTCTTTGTTCTTGAAAATATCAAAATCCAATGCGAGTGAATTCCTTCACACTGTCTTTTTATCATTTTCCTCAAAAATCAACACTTCGGGTAGATAATTAAGCAAATATCTTCAATGTGAATTCTCACGAATATCTACATTCACCACTGATTGTTTACATGAATGCACAATGTAAAGAAAATAGTTCTGCCGAAGTAACAAACAAAACAATCGAAAATAATTTTTGAATTGTTGGACACAAGCTCTGTAACCATTGACAGAGGGGCCATGGCGTCCCTTCATTATTTTTCAATCAAATCTATAATAGAATTGCAGAATCTAAGAGCACGAATTATAAACATGTTTATCTTCGTCATTTTTAAATTAAGAAAAAATACCATGGTTTACCATAAAAATTTATTACGAATTACAACAAACGTAACTAGTGATATAAAAACGTCGCAATTAATACCATTAAAATGCCGACACATCTCTACAATATTATTTTTTGTATTTTCAAATGCTGTTTTATCGGACATTTTTGTCTGCAAATAAATGGAAAATGATAAGCAATTCACTTACCTACGATTACCCACATTTTGTCACTGGATGATGCCCATTGGCCTATCCCCTGAAACAATTTCATTAGAGCTAGTGAGAGCAATAAATTAGTCTTTACACATTACGAAATAATATTCCAATTTGCAATAGAATATGTATTACTGAACACTTTTTATAGAGAAAAAAATGTAGAATTACTTTCAGAAATGTAACGGCGCTTATTTAAATTAAAAAAAAAGAAACTGTCGAAATGTAATACTGGTATGTGAAATGCAATAGCTTTAAAAAAAACAACAACAACAACACTATCGGTATCAGGGGACCCCAAAACGTGTATATCCGTTGAAATCTCGAAATCAGTTTTCCGCAGCATTACATAACTTTCACAATACTACGTATAATTACTCCAAACGTTTACCGGAAAGTAAAAATAGCACACAAATGAAAATCAGTGTTTTGCTAATATTTCAAAAATAAGGCTAACGTTAACAAATTTCAATATAGTTATCCTTCCTTCAAAGTGGTTAAGATTTGGGGAAGGAGGGGGGTTAAAACTGACCCCGAAATTTTCGAAATAAATACATGTTTAATTTGAAAAGCTATTTAACTTAATTTACTTAAAGTGGAAGAAAATAATTGTTGGGATTTGACATATAGTTTAGCCTACTGCTTTTACAATTATTATTATTATTATTATTATTATTATTATTATTATTATTATTATTATTATTATTATTAATTTTTAATTATGTTAATACATAAAGTCAATTTCAAGTTCAATTTTGCTTGCACATAAATTACTATGTACACCGTCTCTGAAATTCTGTCTAGCTTTGTTTTTTAACCTTCCGAATACCGGACAGTGTCCAGATTGACACAGAAAGCATACTTCTAAATATTTGTATGGGAAAACGAAAAGCAAGCGTCTTGTTACTTTTTGTAATTAATGTAAAAAAGCCGAAGAACTTATTGCTTTTAGAGCACAATAATAGTAATATCAGAATAAAATATTCGTAAGTTGTATTAATGTGTACATTCAAGTCACCCGGAAGGGTAGGGGGCTTTTGAGCGTGTCTGAAATTGCGATATTTTGATTTAGTTTTTACAGAAAACGTTCGAGTTGTCGAGAAGAGTTATCTGACAATATTTAAAGCACATGTACTCATAAGTATAATAATGTAAACAAATTGCCGCTAATATAAATATTAACGACGTGAGAGACACATCAAAAAATTCAATTTTAATAAATTAAATTTCAATTCAATTTTTGAAAAAAAAAAGAGTAGACCAATATGGCTTTTATATCATCGTATAGTGTATATTTAGTACAATCTCTACCAAAAGTATAAAGAAAAAAAATGAGCAGTTTTTGAGAAAAAACATTTTTTGCAAATTTTTTAAAAATTACACAAATTGCACGCTATATTGCTCGAAAACTATTGAATTTTTCAAAAAAATGTACATGGCCGTAATGAAAGAACAAAACATGGACAACAAATTTAATTTGGAGGAAAAATATCCTTAATTTTGTAGTTGAGGGAAAAGCCCAAAAAAATTCAAACTTTTAAAAAATTCAAAAATTCAGAGTTCACCTATGTCACCTTTATACTCTATCCTTACAAGAAATTTGAAGAAAAAATATAGAACCATTTTTGAGAAAATTTTGAAAATGTTTCCAGGTCTTCATAAAAAGTACCCCCAAAAACTAACGAATGATTTTCAAAATATAAGAGCTTCGACTTAGATCAAATGGACAGGGGTTTCTTCAATTTGGAAAAAAATCCTACACATGGTTTAGGCGCTAATATTGTTCCTAAACACCAGATAGACGGACAGTGAGATGGACAGATAGACGGACAGACAGACGGACAAATAGATGGACAGACGGACGAACAGACGGACGGACAGACGGACGGACAGACGGACGGAAGACGGTCGGACAGACGGACGGACAGACAGACAGACAGACGGACAGACGGACAGACGGACAGACGGACCAAGACGGACGGAAGACTGGAGATGGACAGACGGATAGACGGACAGACGGATGGACAGACGGATAGACGGACAGACGGATGGACAGACGGATGGACAGACGGATGGACAGACGGATGGACAGACGGACAGATAGACGGATAGACAGACGGATAAACAGGCGGATAGACAAACGGATGGACAGACGAACGGATAGACGGACGTTTTGAAAAAAAACTCTTTTTAGGTATCAAGGGACATCAAAACGCGCATTTCCGTTGAAATCTTGAATGTACACTATGTGATCAAAAGTCATTTGATGATGTCTTATGATCACCAGTACGTGGCGCCCTTCATCGGTAATTCAATAGGGTGTTGGCCCACCCTTAGCCTTGATGACAGCTTCCACTCTCGCAGGCATACTTTCAATCAGGTGCTGGGAGGTTTCTTGGGCAATGGCAGCAGTGCTTCACGAAGTGCTGCACTGAGGAGAGGTATCGATGTAGGTCGGCGAGGCCTGACACAAAGTCGGGCCGGTAATCCAAAACATCCCAAAGACGTTAGATAGGATTCTAGACAGGACTCAGTGCGGGCCAGTCCGTTATAGGGATGTTATTGTCGTGTAACCACTCCGCCACAGGCCGTGCAGTATGAACAGGTACTCGATCGTGTTGAAAGATGCAATCGCCATCCTTGAATTGCTCTTCAACAGTGGGAAGCAAGAAGGTATTTAAAACATCAACGTATACCTCTGCCGTGATAGTGCCATACAAAACAAGAAGGGTGCAAGCCCCCTCCATGTAAAACACGACCACACTATAGCATCCTTTTTTACGTGCCTGAATACTTTTAATCACATAGTGTATTTATATGGGAAAGTAAAAAAAATAATCCGTTTTTAACCTCTAATCACGTAAATAAACGTACGTGGTTATAAAAATGCAGTTATTTTAAAATCGCACACAGGACACTCCAATTTCAATTACATAAATTTCGACAGTAATTAAATTCAATTTAATTCACTTAATGTTGGGTCAAATATTTTTTGGAATTTGATATTATGTGAGGTTCGATTAAAATACGCTTCTGCGTAACGTAAGGACATTTCAGTGTTTCCAAGAAACCTGACAATTAGGAAGTTGAAACTTATGGAGACCTGTCAAATACACTAACAAACTGGAAATAAATATTACACAAAAATTCCTATAGCATTCCTTTATTACATTCTCTATATACGGAGTAATATACGTAGTATAGAGAAAGTTCAGTAATACTGCGAAAAATCGATTTCGAGATTTTAAAGGAGTCCCCTGATACCGAAAAAGTGTTGATTTTTTCAAAACGTCCGTCCGTCTGTCCATCTCTGTCCGTCTGTGAGCACTACTAGCGCTTAAACCATGAGTAGGACTGTTTCCAAACTGGATGTTCTCCAGTCGATCTGGCTCGACTCGAGATGCTGCAATTTTGAAAAATTTCTTTCAAATTTAAAATTTTCTTTAAAATTTAAGGGTACATTACATGACGCCCTAAGGACATTTAAAAAAAAATTATCAAAAATGGCTTCAAATTTTTTCCTTGAATTTTTTGAAAGAATAAAGTAAAATTCACTTACAAAGAGGACATAGGTCCGTTTTCACTGTTAATTGAATTTTTGAAAATTTCAAGTTTGATTTTTTTCGATCTTCTTCTTACAACTACAAAATTGAAGATAAAGGTTTTTCCTTCTAGTACATTTTTTCCATATTTAGTTCTTTCATTAAGATCATGTGCATGTTTTTGAAAATTTTAGTTGTTTTCGCGCAATATTTCGTCAATAATGTGCAATATTAAAAAATAACAAACACACAATTTTCTCAAAAACAGCACCAATTTTTTTCTTGGGACTTTTGGTAGCGATATTATCTAATGTATTCTCCATGAT